AAAACCGGTTAGAAACGTGAACAGGTTGGTGGTGATCGTGAGCAGAGATCCTCGACTACGCTTTCTGCGTACAGTTACCCAATCGTCTGGCTGCTCAGGCACTGCTGGAGGACAGCTACGTGGGGGGCCTACTTTAACTCCTGGATGTTCAACAGCCTGAAGCCTGGATTCTAACTCTGACACCCTCGCCTCCAAAGCTACTAAAATACTACACTTATTACACATCCCATTATCACTACAGGCATCTAGAATATAACGGATTATGGGAATAAAAATATGAAATAGTTGTTTATTTTGTTTCCAGGCAATTATCAAATGAAGCAGATGGTGAATCATTAAAAAGGTCAAATCTGGGACCGATAGAAGCAAAAGTTTGATCTTCTGATACAGAAATAACATCATTTATATAATTATTTCATTCCAGATCATTTTTCTTATTTATTTATTTTATATTTTTGAACCCTTGACACTCATTAAACGTTTATTTTAGGTCCAATAAAAGATCTGATAAGAGAGATTTTATTTTGTTTAACTTCGTTTATAATCATACTGTGGAGGCTTTAGTTATATTCTCAGAAATTAGATCTTTAGTAATTATTGAGCATTATTTACACATTTCAAGGCCGAGCTAATTGTCCGTTTCTGTTTAACCCTAATTCAGATTAGATTAGATTAAAAGTGCATGAAGTAAATACAGATCATCCAGATATATACAGTGGATGGTAAATGATAAAGGAAGAGAGATTTAAGGCGACCTTTATTTACAGTATATTATTTATACAGTAAAGTTCAGATTCTAGTTTCTAGTTCCTCCTAAAGACCTAATCTGAGCAGAGTGTCTGCAGGTCAATGATCTGATCTTATATAGGGGAAACCAAACAACCTCTCCACAGACGCATGGCCCAACACAGAAGAGCGCCCTCCTCTGGACAAGACTCTGCACTACGTCTACACCTGATGGACAAAGAAGACAGGTGGTTTGAGAGGAAGGAAGCCATCGATGTTAAGAAAGAAAAACCAACCTTAAACAGAGGAATGGGCCAATATCGGGTATTTCTCAATGACTCCCGTCATTAAGGGGTGGAGCCTGTTTGGGGGTGGAGCCTGTTTTCCAGCTTCTATCTGCATGTTTTCTAAGCCATTAAAAGGTTTTGTTTTTGGTCCGCTCTATAAAACCTGGAACTCAGCGATATTTCTGACATTTTGAATTAAAAAAGCTTCCAGGATGGAAGAGAAACGTCTTCAAACTTGGAAACAAAGTCCAGAGGATTGATTTTGAACTTTTTGGACTGCAGGTTCTGGTTTGTTAAATATATAAATAGTATAACTTTTATAATACAGGATTATATTGCAGTGATTCTGATGGGCCTAGAAATGTGTGAATGACTTCCTAACAGATGCTTTTAGGCGGCTTGATGTCGTCTTTCTGACCAGAATGGATTCAGCCTGACGTGATCAAAGGTCACATGTTCAGGTGTGAGGATGGAGAGAGAGCATCAAAGCAGGGCGATCGACAGGGAAAGGCTGCAGGTTGGTCTGAGCAGCCGTTTAAAACTGATTCCTCAATATTTGTTACGTGGAAAACATCAGAAAAATGTGTAATTTATTCAAAGCTATTAAATAAACTGGTGGCAAAGACGACAGAAAAAGACGCTCAGTGGTGAAATCAGCGACAGAGGAGATCAGAGACATCAGGAGACGAAGAAAAGAGATAAGAAAGATGATGAGGCTGAAACCAGCAGGCAGGAGGCCAAGGAGGAGATGGAGCTGCTCGGTCTGAGAGCAGAAGATGGAGTTAGAGGGAGACGGACGACTCACCATGACGACCGCCGGCAGAGAAACGACCACGGAGAAGAAGAAGAGATCGTTTAGGTGAAGCAGATTGACTGAGACGTTTTAAAGCGAAACTAAAACGGTTTAATGTGATGAAAAACAAACAATAATGATGAGTTTCCATCAGCGGCGCGTCGCCTCCCTCCAATGATCATCGGTTGTTTTCATTAGAATAAAAGATGGAGCTTTCTATAAACACTGAATCTGTTTTCATCCATAAAGGCGAGCTGATAGACGCGCTGATTGATGCCGCCATCGTGGATCTAATTTCATTTTCAGCTGGAAGCGAAGCGACGGCAAACAGGGAGAAGATCAGAGAACAAGGAGACTCATTAAAGGAGGTTCAGACGTGACTGAGGAGCCTGATTAAAGGTCCAATCAGAACATAGAGCTAAACCAAACAGAACCACCTGAGAGGTTCTGGAGGGAATAAAGCAGCAAAGCAGGAAGAAAGAGGTTCTGTTACCGTTGATGCTGCTCCGGTCTATGGGGTTGGTGTCAGGAGGCCAGAAGGCGTGTTCTCCTCGACCTGGAAGGTGAAGGAAGAGAAGATCAGGAACAAAACCGCTTAGAATCAGTCAGAGAGAGTCTGAGCTAGATCTAGAGCAGCAGGAACACATCCGAACATCTGTAGGTATCAGAACCCTTAGAATAAAGACAACATCTGAAGCTTCTTCAGCAGAAATGTTCATGAATGGATCAGAACTGCTTGAAGGACAGAAGAGAGAAAAACATCAACAAACCATAGAACCTATAGAACCTCCACCAGCCTGTAGAACCTCCACAATCCTATAGAAGCTCCACAATCCTGTAGAACCTCCACCAGCCTGTAGAACCTCCACAATCCTATAGAAGCTCCACAA